CGTACGTAGTACGTACGTACGTACGTACGTACGTACGTAACGTAACGTTAACGTTAACGTACTACTACGTTACGTTACGTTACGTACGTAGTAGTAGTAGTAGAGAGAGAGAGAGAGAGAGAGAGAGAGAGAGAGAGAGAGAGGAATGATGATCACCCCACTTTAGCCGTAACTTGCATTCCCATTGAAATGTAGATGAAAAAAGTGAATGCTGTGCATTATAGGCTCATTCTTACTTGTAGTTCTAGTAATACTAACAGATAAAAATCCAGGTTTAAACACAATTCTTTGCATCTTTAACAGCATACCTGAGGTTATTTCCCATAAAATCTAGCTTTAAATTTTTACAATTGCTAGGTTAGCATCATACTTATAATTAACGGACTTGTAAATATTCTTGAAATAACAAATATTCATGATTTCATGTGAAATGGTCCTCATTGCTTTTTTTGCTTTTAGTTTTCTTAGATGTGGCATGCTCTTCTTTACTTTCCATCCTGATCAACTTACTGCATCACTGCTAGCTCCTATTAGATTAAACCCATGCTATATGCACAAAAAAACATTAAATACTTAGCAAAGAAAATAGCAAGAACCTTTCGCAAGAAGTATACAGACAAGTGAAATAAAATATTGTACCAAATTATTGGATCAGATTATAATTCTTTTGGACTTTATAAATTTGGAAGAAAATGGAAATTTTGATGGAATTAAAACTACTGAAGCACACATGCAAGGTAGGTATGAGTAATTCACTGGAGTTTTTTCTTAACGCATCATAAATTCGCATTGTGCTTTAATGATGTGGGCTTATTGTGTGATTATTATGGAAGTGCTAACTTTATTTTGTCCTAGTTCAAGGTTTTGCGGCATAATAAACATTGGGAGCCTACACGTTTTGGACCATTGCATGATTGATTTATGCCCCATTGTGTACCCTCGTCATACAAGGATAATAAACCTTGTTGATACCCTTTAATTTTGCTTCTATACTGATTTTTAGAACGTTAGACGAATCAATGCACCACGGGGCTGCCGAAACTTTAATTTTGCTTCTATATTGATTCAAATTTTAGCAACGTGATAAGTTATTAAATAATGTAATCGACATATCCTTTTCAACCTAGTCACTAGGACTAAAAAAATGAAACCAAGTCTGGTTGGCCAATTACACTGCTTTGTAGCTATTGACCAAAAACTTGAGTATGGAATTCAAAGGACCATTTCTTCTTCTTTTTTATAGATAATTTCCAAGATGATAGTTGGAGTATGTCTGAATGAGTGGATAGGATGTGAATTAAATCAACATATATCTTTAAATGGATTGATGAGGGACAAACCATGGTTTTATCTCAAATACTTATTAAAATATAATGAAAGTTCTTGCAATGCTATTGGTCTGCATATTTTATTACATGTCCGCGTTGAATAGATATTGGAATCAGAGTATTTCTATACCTTTAGATCTACAAATCCATTGATGTATTTGAGAATGATGAAAATGTATGATTACTAGTAAATCATTAATTTTGCTAAATATCCACATTGAGCATCACAGTGGGCGTCAAATTTAAAATTATTACAGTCAGTTGTGCTCATAGGCAGCCATGGAATGATTTTTTATATCTCTTAATGAAGGTACTTGGCTACTGAAAGCAGATTACTTTTGTGAAAGAAATGGGGCTTCTAAAACAAAAGCACTTAAAACCTAAAACGTAAAACACTTACAAGTACTCTGGTTGTTCATTAGTCAATCGCTATTTTCTTCTAACCTAAAACTTAATTTTATCGATTTTAAGAAAGTTGTCAGTCGACATGATATTATTATTATTACTAAAATTATATGAAATATGCCTCAAAAGGTTCACCTATATCCTCGTATTTGTTAAATTTTCTGCACTATCATATCATAGTTATAACAAATATGTGATTTATCACTCACATCAAAGCTCAAACTTCTTGATATTTTATGAGCAATGTATAGGTTTCCAGGTGACAACATATGGGGAAACTCAAGATATGCATATTTCCTCGTGATCAATTTTTATCTTTTGACAACAGAAAGATTATTTAAATAACTATCCTACTTTGCATGTATTGGTTAAATTCAGAATGTTGATCCTATTTGAAGTAATTTACCCAAAGCAAAAAAAAAATCCTGTATGAATTAAGTTATATCTTAATGAGTCAGGGAGCAACTCTTGTTCAAGGAAGAACAAATACCACAAAATTTAGAGAATCATGATACGGATTTTAAGCACATAGTTTGATGACACTTCTAAATAGAAATTTGAGTACTGTGGGAATTATAGGTGTGCATATTGACTGACAATAACAATTTCCCTGGCAAAATATAAGATTACCCATCCCAAATGATAACTGCACTTATTGAGGAAAAATTCCCTTCAGTTATTAAGTAGTTAGTGATCTAACAATGGTACTTTATCCCAAAAAAGAAAATTTGGGTAATTACCAAAAAAAGATAAATATATGGCACATTCTGATTCTGATATATTGCAAACAATAAATAATTTATTTATGATGCTGTTAATAATAAGTTCATTGTAGTTCTCCATACTTTTGATGCTCGACAAGAAAATGTTTCTGGTTCTTTTGCGTTAGTCTTTCGTTGACTGTGCTTTACATTCTTCTCTAAAAATGATCCCTCATTCCTTCTGCATAACTTTCTTCTGTAAAACAATTCCATGTTAACTGGTCCATATGTATTGCCTCTCATAGATAATAGTATATGTTAAGTTTAATTGCGTAAAGGGATCATAAATCCCACAAAAAGACTACCAACTTGTAGTTAAGCAAAACTGAAGTCGTGGATATATTTTGGACTCTTAACTGTTGATGTGGAATGGAGATACAAAAAGAATCCGGACTTTTATATGTATTAATTAAATTAATTCATTAACATTTTATTTTTCAAAATTTTATCTCTATTGATTGAAGATTGTGGTTATTCTTAATGTTTATGACCTGTTGGAGTTCCTGCATGGCAAGTTTACCATAGATTATTATATCCATTTATTGCTTAATCTTAAGAGATCTTGGATAACCATGATTCATCAGACGTCAACAGATTATAGGGTCCCGAATGTGATTTTGGATAGATATATAGTATATGTTCATTATAATAAAGAGAAAAAACATAAGAAGAAGAGTAAGATGAAGACGATATATAATATATGCTCTTTTTGATAGTTTATATGAAAATGTTTATGTAGTTGTGGCTTATACATCCTTTTTGGCCAGTACTGTATGTGAGGCCTTTCACACAGATGATATGGATCCGCACAAACACCAAATTGCTAACATAATTAGAGCAGGTTTCATCTTTTAAGAGGAGAATGAGAGCTAGAGATCATGTAGTTACGTTTATATCAAATTGTTGTATCTAGCTATTTCTATGTTCATGTTGTTTTCCTATTATTAATTTAATAATTTGATGACAAAAATAGATATTTTGTACACTTCGTATTAAATAAGCTAGTCACTATAGTTTGATCCTTAGATATGAAAATACGTCTCTATGAGCATCCAATTGCATACTTATAGGAATCAAATATGTTTCATATATTTTTCCTTAAGTTACCTTCAAAAAAAAAAAAGTTGTTGTAATTTACAGAGTTATTGTTGCATGCATAAACTTTTGGCATGGTTTATATGTTAATATTCCATATCACTATGCCGCAATTGTGAGTCCTTGATGCCTAATTATTTAGAGTTCTATAAAATTCAAAATGATAGAGCTCATGCTGCAAAACATCGTATGCTTAGTATCAGAAAGAAAATGTTTTCACGCCATTATTCTATGGAGACTGCCTTCAATGGCCAGTAATGGTAGCTTGATACCTTAGAAATTGTTTTCTATCTCCAGTTTGATATTGCTGCTAAATTCCTTAGATTGTTCATTTACACATACTGCGACTGTTTCCTTGAACATTAGACATGGCTTGTAATAATAAATGGAACATTTATTGCTCATTGAAAACAAAGAAATGCAGATTAATGTGGTTAAATCATTCATGATTTTATTATATTTTTTGAATTTTTCCATGCGTCTGAAGATGGCTCATTGGGATATAAGGGGTAGCAAAACAATTGGAATCTCATCTTCTGTGTCATTTAACCATGGCAACAATGGTAAAGACAACTGGTTTCTCAAACCATAGATAATGGAGAAGTTCATAAATCATTCAAGGAGGCATATTCTTTTATTTTGGATGCTTAATACCTTAGAGTTCATATCCCTTAGATAAGAATAATAGGGCACAAAGTCCATTTCTTTTAAAACAAAGGCCTGCAATATGCGTCCTCATTATGAAAGCAGTGGTAAAAATATCCAACGAACTGATTGAAAAGTACCCAATCTATGCACGTCAAAGGTCATGGAAACTTCTTAAGGTTCATAAAATAGGTTAAGTCCCCTTCATATACCCTGATGGCAAAAGAAATATGGTTGAAAACAAAGGAAAAATAGGCAATCTAAAAATGTGATGTGGGAAAAATAAATAATAAACATATTGATGTCTGTGAAACATACTTTTCCTCTAGACCCTTTTGTCAAGAAAAAAAGGAAAAGAAGAGAAAAACAAAAGTGTTACCATGGCTACTCACTTGGGATGGAACTGAAGAAAACTGGCAAATGTGCATTTTATAGAATAATAGAAAGGATGATGAAACAGGGATTAAGTAATTTTCTAGAGCATAAAATCCAGATGACACATTATTAATGAACAATAAAAACAAAGGAAACCAATTATGAGAGCATGTATACTAGATACCTAGGGTAATTTCAAGTCAGTAAATGGTGCATGTGCTGTTGAATGCTATAGAATGCACTACCACTACCCATCTTTAGGGCCAATGATAAAATAAGGATTAACAACTAAAACAATTACCGAGAAACATTTGAAGAAAGGAAGGCGCAGATTTACTTGGGCAAATCGGTAACCTATGCATTATTCGAGCTTTCCATTTTGAATCTAGGTTCCTGATGTATATGCCTCTTTAAAAAATGAATATAAAATGCAAATGATTTCCATGAAAGAAATTTTTTAATGTACAGTTATAATCTTATGGGACTAAACATAAAATGTCACTTGATCCTTTGTTTTTTACAAAAATGTCGATCCTTTCTTAATCGATATCTCTCTGGTTCTTCTAATGTGATGGGCAGGCACTGATATCCTTCTTTGGAGAACATGAATACCTTCTCACATGTTCCACCAGGTTTCCGATTCCATCCAACCGACGAAGAGCTAGTTGACTACTATCTTCGAAAGAAAATTGCTTCAAAGAGGATTGACCTAGATGTCATTAGAGACATTGATCTCTATAAGATTGAGCCATGGGATCTGCAAGGTACCATTATTTCTCCATGTGATCCTCCTTCCCTAAATTGAATTAGTGCAATCGCATATTCAATTCTGTTATTTATTCATTTGTATTATTTCTTGGATGACAAGAACTCAATTGTGTCTATCTCCCTCTCATTTGAACAGAGAAATGTAGGATAGGAAATGAGGAGCAAAATGAATGGTACTTTTTCAGCCATAAGGATAAGAAATATCCGACGGGTACACGAACAAATAGGGCCACGGCTGCAGGGTTTTGGAAAGCCACTGGTAGGGATAAGGCCATTTATTCGAAGCATAATTTGATAGGCATGAGGAAGACACTAGTGTTTTATAAAGGTCGAGCTCCTAATGGACAAAAGTCAGATTGGATCATGCATGAATATCGGCTTGAAACAAATGAGAATGGCCCACCCCAGGTAACTCTCTCTCTCTTCACACACACACAAACAAACTCACACAATGAGTTAACACGCACATTCTCTCTCTCTCACACAATGGGGTCATAAAAGCATACTATTTTCATCTTTCTTTCTTATAGTCTACAAATCCATCATTATCATCCCTCTCTTATTCTCATTATCCATCTCTTTCTCTCATAATTACGTCTCCAATACCATCATCCTTATCATTCTCTCTCTAACATACAGATAATGCCTTGCTCTTTCTCACATACGTGCACACGCACAAGCAGTTTCATAGTTATTACTCATGTTGAATCAGTTCATTTAAGAAAGAAGAAAATTATTTACAATGTTTTGAATGAAAAAGTGTATTGTTTTATATGGTTACATCCTTGCAGGAAGAGGGTTGGGTGGTGTGCAGGGTCTTTAAGAAGAGGATCACAACCATAAGAAAAGCAAGTGACCACGAATCACCATGCTGGTACGATGATCAAGTCTCCTTCATCCCCGAACTAGACTCCCCAAAGAGGTTGCCAACTCAAGGAGACCTGCCCTTCCACCACCACCACCACCACGCCTTCTCATGCAAACAAGAGCTTGAGCTCCTCCATTATCACCATCACCAACACGACCCTTTTCTCCAACTCCCTCAACTAGAGAGCCCCAAACTCCCCAATTCTTCCTATGCAATTGCACCGCAACAAGATAATCCTGTGACCACTGACTGGCGTGTGCTCGATAAATTTGTCGCCTCTCAGCTCAGCCATGAGGAGGCTACCCCCAAAGACCAGGAGAGCTTCTCAGACCCCTCGGGCACGATCGAAATCCCGGAGCATGTGAGCTTGATAATACGCCAACCCTCAAAGGATGCAACCGAGTACATAGCCTCGGCGTCCGGGTGTCCCATCGACCTGTGGAAGTGAACAAGGGCATATGACTGATCTTAGACATAACTGAAAGAATGAGATTTACATCCTCATGTACATAATAAGAAAACTAAGTTACAGTAGTTAGTCCATGGAGAGTCTCCTCTTACTTGTAATGTTAATGTCCTCTAGCCAGTCAGCTCCTAGCATGGCTAGGATTAAAACCCTAGTATGTTTTGATAATAAAATGTTTTAGAAAATTATTGTGACCGTAATAGTAAGAGTCAATGTCATTTGTTGGGGAGTCACTCACGACCTAGAGAGTGAGGGGATGGATGGCCATCCGGGCAGCCCCATTTGTATTCCCCATATGTAAATCTTTGCCACTTTCTCTTTGATGCCCCCCATCAACAAATTTGAAACCAATATGAGAGGGTATTCTTTTTATTTTACCTGGTGTTAAATATTGGGGAGCAAGCAATGTTATGTCTTTAAACTTTATTAATGGATAATTGATTGTCCTTACAAGCACTTTGCTTTAGGATAAAGTTCTTCTTCTTCTTCTTCTTCTTGCTCTAAATTTCTTCTCTTATTCTTGTGTTTTTTTTGGATTTTTTTTATTTTTTTATTTTTTTTTGCTCTCTCTAACTTTTTGGAACATTTGTGAACAGCATTACATGATCACTTCCCCTTGTATAGTGAAGGAACATGCTATCATGGGAAGTCAAATATATAGAAATATACTTATGTTTTCTTTTTTAAAGGAAAACATAATTTACATTTTCTTTTACGTAATTCATTATTGTCCTTTTAGGGGTTCGTTATTTGTACCCCTGAAGTACTATTTTCTTTTCAGATAATGTTCCTTTTTGCCCTAACCACTAAAACATTGGAGGCTTTTTTGCCCTAACCACTATGCCTGAAGGCAAAACCCAATTCTTTGTAAATGACTAATCTTTTTTTATTTCCATTTTGCTAATTTTGCATTTTAAAACATATTGTAGACACTTTTTCCTCTAAGTTATGTTAGACAATCATAGAAGAATATGTAGATTGCTTTCTATGCCATACTACCAAAGTTGGCATTCCTTGTCAAATTATGGAGCATTCACTTGTAGGAAGCTCAGAATTGAAATGCAGGCTTCCTCATTTACATTTAAAATTCAACAAATTGGAGTTTTTCACTCTATCATGATTCTTCCAATGCTTAAAAATTATCTTAGCTATCTAACCAGTATAATACCAAAACAGTAAAAAAATCCAGCTAGTATCACGAGTTTTTAACTTGGTAAATATTTCTATTGCAAGAGGAATAGAAATAAAAAGAAGAAAGTGCAAAAAGGATTAAGTAGACTAAGGCTACTTGTGAAATTGCAATATGAAACTTAGTCTAGATCTTTGGAGTTTAACTCTGCAGCAGCCAAGGCAGCCTCAAATTCAAATTTTAAGTTTCCTTTCTTCTTTTGGCTCTAGGGCTCCTAGGGCCCCTAGGGCCTTAAAGACCAAGAAGACTTATTAGGAAGACAACACATGAACTGCCAGTGTTCAACACCCTTTTTTTTTTTTTGCAAGTTCCAGTCTTCTTGTACTCCAAACCATTGTTATCTAGACCCAACCTGGAAACTGGAAACTGGTGTGAGTACATGTGCTTCTTCATTGATCTAAATTTACATGCAGTTATGGATATGTCTCACATGGTCAAATAATGTATTTCTTCACTTAAAGCCTATAATTGACTGAAAAATTATTTCAAATTGCTCATTCTCTTCCAAATATATCATCATCTAGCCACTCAAATCTCTAAATCTATCTTAAAGTCCACTGCAAACCAGGATTTTCATAGATTTTTATGTAGTGCTCATTTTGTGGCCGAGGAAATAGGAAACATTAGGTATTTACTGTGAGCCGAGGAGATCCTCATCTAAGGTACCCTATTGTTTCTTTTATTCAATTTCTTTTCCTTTGGTTTTTCTTTACTTTTTTTTTTATTTTTTACCTACCTTCTTTATTTTTTATTTTTTTATTCAGTAATTTAGTGGGGAAGACATGCCCCTACCCATTTTTTTTAAATAGCTTAGGAGTTAGTTTTTTGAAGGTGTTAGTTGGGTGGTATTAGTGGGAATAGAAACCACAACGTGGTGACTTGGGTGTGGTGATACTACCATCACGACCCCAGCCCCTAACCCGATTTTGTTTTTTAGGTAATTCAGTGGAGAAAACAAGCCCGTACCATTTTTTAATTAGTTAGTAATTTTTGAAGTTGTCAGACGGAATAGAAGGCACAACGTGCAACTGAGTTATGAGGTGTGTTACCACGACGTCCTCAACCGCTTTCCCCAAAACCCACCTTCTTGCTATCATTTTTTTTATTTTCCAATTTCTCTACAGTGTATACATGTAAGTTTGCCATGTACAGTTACAGAATTATGAATACTGAACTTGAAAATAGATGATGTACGCATTCTCATCCGGCAATTACCCCAAAGAGTTGGAATGCAATCTAAGCATTCAGGCTTGGGCTTAATTGGTGAGGAGTTGATGATTTCAATTACCAAAAAAATTTGAAAAAAAGAGAGGAAGTGTAAAGCATTCATTGTTCCTTCTTAAAATATCATACACTGGAAAGATAACTGAACTTGTACATGACAAGAAAATTTGCTAATATCCAATGTCTCAATTAAAATAATCCTAACTTGTCTGAATCGTGCTACATGACAAGAAAATTGGCTAATAACCAATGTCTCAGTGAAAAAATAATTCTACCTTGTCTGAACTATAAACCCTAGCTATGAAATAATTATATTTAGCAGCATTACAGCTGCAAAACCTGCACATTTTACTATCCTATAAAATACCCAAAGCTGGGGGGATTATTTTAACAATATAAAACTATAAAACAAAAAAAAAAAAAAAAGAAGAAGGAAGTTTATCTATATTTTTGATGGAGCTACTAAGTTAGAGTACCTGATAAGGATAGGTGCCTAACCATGCCAAAGCTTGAGTTCTTCTGGTGAAGAGAAGGGGTGTGCAAAGTCAAGGCATTGCATTCCTTTGGGGTTTGGACTTTGGAAGCATTTAAATACATTGGACCAATTTATTTGATGATGAATTTCTATGTTTCCAACCCACAATATCATCATGCCAGATTCCTTCCCATTGGAATCCAAGGCTCCATGCACATAGCAGAAAATAGAGTCTGAGAGGTTGGGGGACCCACTGTGTTAACCAATAATTTTGATGCGTAAGTAAAGCGTCCAATGGAAAGAGATCTCTGCAATGGCAAGTCAAAACAGCTTGCATGCGTTCTTCTAGGGTTTCGGAATTATCCACATTTGAGGACTGAATTGCATATGAGTACTCAAGGTTGAAGGCGTGCATGATTGGTACGACTCTCTCTCTCTCTCTCTCTCTCCGGGGCCCTAAATAGTCAGAAATTTCATATATGAAATTACACAAGTATAATGAGATAAAGTATGTAGATGTATGCATATGCTTCAGGAACTTTTTATACAGGAATAGTAAGAGAGAGAGTAAATGAGTAGGAAAGCAGTATGATATGATTTGAAATAGGGAAAGAGAGTGATAAAATTTAGAGAGAGAGAGAGAGAGGAGGAAAGAGAGAGTAATAAGAGTGTGTGTAATTGTTGTTTGCGGCTGAAGAAAGAATGATTCCTTGGGTATCTCCCATGTGAGGGCATCATGCTGCTTCTGCTGTAGCTCCCGGGTGCAAGTTGCCCCCCCTTCCCCCTTCGTTTTTGTAAGCTGCCTTGGTAGTGAAGCCCATAGAGCTGAGAAATTTAGAGCACAGGACATCAAAACGTCTTTGCATCCAACCACTTCAAAGCTATCCCAAAAATGTCCCGGCCGGTCCGGCACATTGATTTCATAGATCAGTCCGACAGAAAATACTGTCGGATTAGTTTGTGAAGCTGGTCCGCTAGTGTTTTGTGCCAGACCGGCACTATGCAAATGTGGGTATAAGGGAGAAAGAAGTAATAAATTTATTGACTTTTTCACTAGGGGATAATGCAGGAAAAAAAATATTACGGTTTTCTTAATATTTTAAAAATTTGTGGAGGGAGGATATTTAGAAAGTAGAGTAAGGGGGATGTCAATAATGTCCCAAGAGATTATGCAACCCCTAACCACGTGTATTGTGTTGAATGCCTAGACCCATCATCCAAAGGCGACTTATTTCTTGGCTGGTGGATTCTTCTTCTATGTTTTTACAGACTCTTGTGTTTATAGCCTAAGTTAAGAAGGGCGAATTAGTTAGGCTCTAAAAAGGCAAGTGGAAGGCTAAAAAATATATGGATCGAAGTAATAAGAAGTACGATGACTTATGAATGGTAGAACATAATTTATATAGCTCAACCTAAATAGTTGAGATAACGCTCTGATGATGATGATGTGAGAAAGTTATTTTCCATTGAATTACTGTTCTTCTCATGTTTGTGTCCTGCAAAGCAATAATTTCTTTCGCAACCAAGCCTCTCACATAAAACAACCATTCCTCAAAAAAACGGTGGATTGGGCATGAGCACCATCCAAAGTACTCATAAAACATTGGGAAATTTATTAAAGTATCAATGAGAAATGAACTGTTTAACAATTTACCTATTTGAGACAATTCCAACTCAAAACATGTATTTTTAATAGGTATTTTAAAATTAAGTAAAAAATATGGCTAAAGAATTAAATAGTTCGTTTCTTATGAGCAATGTGATAATTTTCCCTAAAAAGTATAGCATCGGGGGCAAAGACTGAAAAATAGAAGAAAAAATACCTGGACTTAAACTTGCCCCTTTTAATAGATGAGAGTATAAAATTGTAAAACTTAAGAGTGTTTGATTGGGAGGTGACCACTTCTAATAAACAACTATTTGATCAAGCTTGTGTCTCCTTCCATCCTCTCATTATCTCACGTTACTTTTACGCGTGCTGGAAGGCACGTGCGATCACAGATAAGTTTTTACAAACATGTACCGATTCTTATGGTATGGACGGCTCAGATCCCACAAGGTATGTTGAACACTAGAGGATCTGGATCGTCTATTATGGGGGACAAATCTAAACCATCTATGAGTACATGCATTCATGATGTTAGGCGCATGCAGTGGGGTTGGGCCTTGACTTTCATGCTTTCATTCGCAGGCATGGGCAAGACTGACCAAATGTTTAGTCCTCACCCTTCTTTTGGCTGACCAGAGTGGAGAAAGAATGGGCCACCATGACCTTTTATGAGAGAATGGGAACAAAGGGAATCAAAGGATTCATGAGAAAGTGGGGACAAGGGGGATGGTAGAAGACCTTTTCTTGACTCAACCATCATATGAAGAAAATGTCAACAGTTTGGGGTTCGGGTTTTGTGGCTTGGTGCATAGGTCCAATGTTTAAAAAAGGATAAGATTTTAATGGGCCCCTGACTTTATTATTAAGGTTAAACAGATTTTTACTATGTTTTATTTGATGAGACAGTGGGAGGGCCCAATAGGAATTGAGCCTAAGTCATAGCATTGCAAATTGTCAAGCGCAAACCAATTAAGCTTGGGCTCTTTTTTTAAGTTAAATAGATTTGGATCTAAAAGTTTAGATTATAATAAACGTCTTTAAAAAAAAAAGGAAAAATTATAAAAACCCCATAATTTGTACTTTCAAGGTATCTTTCGCCCAAGACTTTTGATACCATACTATTAATCCCATATTTTTCTTCGTAACTACCCACCCTAGTAAGAAAAGTGAATTTTTTGGACTCTAATAACCTTATCTTAACCCATGAATTTTTTGGCGGACATGTTCTATATGCAAGTTATGCTATTTTAGCACAAAAATATGTTGGACCGGCTCCAACACAAAAAATCTGCCGGACCAGCTCCAATCAAGTTTTGTTGGAGCCATACTGGTTTAGAGAGAGAGAGAGGGAGGGAGAGTAGAAAAAGTGGCTAAAAAACGTAGTTTGGTCCAAAAATGTCTATTTTTTAACTTTGAGAGAGGCTGCAAATATAAAAAGTTTAGGAGTTGGAGTGTGGTTTACAAAGTATTCGGAGGTGGCATGCAGAAAGGGTATCTACAATTTTTTTTTAAAAAAATACATTTAAAAATTTTAAATAAAATTTTATATTTATTTTCACATAAAATTCCTAAAACCCCCTAGATTGGGTGTTCTCCTCAAAATGTCCCCCTTTTAAAATTCATTCTCACCCATTATTACTCAACATACTTTTGAACTTTATTTATGAAGATAATGCCCTTATTTCTCTCTTTTTTTCATTTTTCTCTCTAGATTCACATTTTCATTCATATTCATTTATCTCTCCCTACAAATATAAATGGGTTAGTTTTTCTCTCTCTAGACATAATAGATTTGGGTTCTACTTACAGAGAAAAATGGAAAATAAAGAGAGAATCCAACAAACCCATTAATATTTTTAGAGAGAGATACTAATAAATTTATTCATACTTTCGGAGGAAGAGAGCTTTAGAGAGAAAAACAAACACGCCTATTCACATTTTTAGCGATAGAGAGCTTTAGAGAGAGAAAAAGAGATGAATATGAATGGAAGGTAGGCCTAGAGAGAGATATGAATTTTGTATTTTAATTTTTGCAAGAGTTATTAATAAAGTAGGGTTTAAGGGAGAAAATAAAGCATTTTGGGGTAATGGGCGAGAGAGACTTTCTAACACAGGCATTATGAGGAGAACATCCAATTTTGATGGGTTTTCATGATTTTCCGTTTAATTTTCCCTTTAATTTAACAAGTTCGATTTTATTTTATTTTTTGATGGGGCTACTAGCTTTCTAAAGGAAAAGTATACAATAAGTCCATTTTCTTTTAGCACAAGGAGGTTAAAATCAATATTGTTCATTAGGAGTGAAACCGGTCAGCTAAGGGTGGATGACTGAGTTGAGCACAAAACACAAAATAAAAATTCTCAAAACGTGTGACACACCCAAGCGGTCGTATTATATTATTTTGTGTCGAAGCTTGAAAATTAGATAGATTGATTTTTGACGAATAAAGAGTGAAAAAAAAAAATAGAACCAGCTACAAACAAGCTACAAGA